TTACCTTCGACACTAATGGTGTGGAACGATGCGCTAGCCCTAGTCAAGAACATAAGAAGTGTGACTGAACAAAAAACTCACCTTGGAAAGCCGCTAGAAAGGGAGCTGAACGGCTTCGAAGTGGGCGTGGTTGGAGTCGGCCTTGCAGCCGATTTCAACCACGCCCACTTCGAAGCCGTTCAGCTCCCTTTCTAGCGGCTTTCCAAGGTGAGTTTTTGTTCAGTCACACTTCTTATGTTCTTGACTAGGGCTAGCGCATCGTTCCACACCATTAGTGTCGAAGGTAAAAACCCTGCTGGGACTGTTGCTTTGAGAGAAATTTACCCCTCACCTTTATTCAGAGTAATGTAGGGCATTTTTCAGGTAACGCTGTTGAAGACAAACAGGGAGAGCTGGTTTGCCTGACGCCATTTCCTTCTATGCCTTCCCACTTTCTTGGAGATAATAATTATGAACGATACAAAAAGGCCTATTTTGAAAGGTCCGTTTGATCTTGCATTCTTTTTAAGTCAGAAGTCGTAGTGTTAGAATTTAGGTTTGATGGTGTATGGGCCCATGGCGACTTCTGTCAGATCAACAGTAAGACAGGTGGAGTGATAATGCTAGGAAGGTTAGATAATGTTCTAGTTTCTAGTCACTTCAATTCGCCTTGAAAAGAACTGGCATAAAGTACCATGATTAACTCACAACATTCTTTTGATAATATATGTTAAGGAGCGATGCAACACTCAATCGCGGTGGTGTGCGGATAGGTACTGCTGAAATTTATTCCGTCGTTGAAACATTTGCTGAACTTGATGACTGCATTGTAGCGGGACAGATAGTGTGAGTTACCTTTTCCTTTGAGAAATTTGTACAACCCTTTCTTACTTATTCATCAGGTGCTGCTATATTTGTCTAACTGGAGGGAGGAACTTTACGGTCTCTAACGAATATGACCTAAATGAAAGAGCGTTTCACAAGGCCCCCATCCATACTGCAAGGTGTTCTCCAATCCCGCCGTCACTTCTGCTTGATGGTTATGGTTTAATGGAGACTGCTCATGATTCCACTTGTTTCATATCCAGTGTTTCAATTGTTCAAATGGGGCACTTGCAATTTTTGTGATTGGTTTGGTTTGATTCCTGAAAAAATAGGAACGATTCAAGAGCATTTCAATGAACTAATAGACATTGAACATGAAACAAGTAGAACCACAAACATTCGTCTTCCAATCTTTACTGCCAAGCAGAATTCGCAGCAGGATTAAACAACACCTCGCAGTATTCATCGGGCTTTCAACTCCTGTGATCCATCGCGCAAATGCGCATCGCGAATCGCGGCAATATCGTGAAAGGTCGCGAAAATGCGCAACATCGATGCGGACTCTGCACCACCTTACTTATTCACCAGGTGCTTGCTATATTTGTCTAACGGAGGGAGAAAATTTACGGTCTCTAACGAATACGACCCAAATCAGATCGTTGTAATTTTAGAACGTCTACTGCGATTTCTCATGCGAAAGTGGTTGCTAGTGTTATGCTACCATTTATAAACAAAATTCAGAAAAAAAAGACGGGGAACTGTTTTTTGTCTTACTGTTTGTCTATATCGGAGTATTCCTTTCCATGTTCAGATTCAGCTGTTCCATGGTTTAAATGAATTAATCGGAAATGGGGTACAACAATGGAGTACAATGGAGGCTAGGCTCTTATCTTCCCTTGGGCTTGATGCTTTCTAATAAGCCTATCAATGTGTTTTTGCCGTGCAGCTCCAGCCTCTAGCGGCTATAGCCTGTTCACTGAAGATTTGGTCCATGAGCCATGCTTGTGATAGTGACCCATTTTGCCTCTATTCCAAGTGAGCTTTTTACATGTTATATTATAATAACAGGCAGTTATTCATGTTGTTATATTTGCAGTCGATTTGCAGCTCGGGATTTATGTGTGTCATGCCCTCTATATTTTATTACTGTTACTGAACGACTGGGAATATGGATTGAACTTCAATGGAGGGTTCCACGATGAGGTAGGAGATCAAAGAAGGGAATATACCCTGCAGAGGCAGGCGGGCTCTCTAAGGGTGGGGACGATGCACGTTCCGCTACGAAAAGTATGCATACAACGGCCTAGCAAGGCCATACCCGCGCCCCGCCCGCCTACCTTCTCGCCGTCTGACTCGGGCCGTTTAGCATAGGTAGCGTTAGCGTTTGAGGTAATAATAGGGCAGCCACCGATGAAAGCAGCTTTAATGGCGAAACGAATAGGCAATTCAAGTCTATTTCTTGGTTCTGGAGCCGTTTCTTATGTTTTTCTTCAACCCTGTACCACCGATAATGTCTACCTTGATTTATAATAAGCTGCCATTTCATCGTAAACTCGGCCTTCAACGGTGCTTCACAAAAGTAGATTTCGAGCGTGGGGGTGGGGTGGGGTGGAGCGATCGTTTAGTTAGCTTGAAATTTTGGATAGTTTTTGTTGGAAGCCATCTCGTAGGTTATTAGTAGTTTTCTCAATTTGATAGAAAAGTTCTTCAAATCAACATCAGCAGTGTTTGCTAGGATAATTTCTATTCTGTAAACATTGCACACGCATTCAGTTTGACCGACTTACTGGCGATATTTTCAGTCCTGACTTCGACGAGGAACACATCCTTCTATTCGTTAAAATGGCTGAACACTTCACCCTAACCGAGGATTTAAACGGCGAATCTGCATCCAAATAAGAACGATGATGTCTCCACGACATGTTCCTAATGCCATTTATGCAGTGCCAGATATTCCAGTAAGTTTGTTGATATTCTTGGTTTTGCGAGATATCGTGCTTGATCTCTCGTGTTCCATTCTACGTTCAGATAAATATCATCAATCCAGACCTTAAAGGCACGGGTCGCGATCGAAGAATTCTCCTTTTGAGTGAGTGAGCGGGGCCCCTGATAACAGAGGTGGTGGTACTGCCGCGTCTTGAGAAATCGCGAGAAGGGAGTAATGCCTGACCGCTGTCTTTCTTATCAATCGCAGCATAGCGGTATCTGCGCCGTCTCGCATATGACGTGCTCTCTCGCGTTTTTCCTCTCCTCGTAGCGCTGTGTCTGTCCGTTGTACCCTGGTGGGGTACCCGACAGGAGGCCCGTCGCGCGGCAAGAAGGCAGAGTCAGCGGACGAGTCGCAGCGCGTACTGTAGTGATTTCGCGTCAAGTTAAATAGAATGTCCATTGTACGTCCTACATCGCACATCACGCGCTGCGACTCGTCCGCCGACTCTGCCTTCTTGCCGCGCGACGGGCCTCCTGTCGGCTACCCACCCGGTCGATCATACAAGAAAAACTTTTTATGTTTCCTATGGCGTTTTCGCATTCCTCCAGTAACCTTCCTCCGCGCCCTCCTTGTCTAGTTCTTGAACAAGATCACTCACCAACTCGATTGCGACCCATGCTTTTTATGTTAGGAATAGCACACGAACATTTTCGATATATGTCGTGATGTTTGGCATTTTAGTACACCAACTCTGGCAAGAAGGTCGAATTAGCTGTTAAACAACTGATTAATGGTGATCAGGTAAGCATTTTCGAATCGGATTCCTGAATTTTGTACATTCTTGTTGACGGTAAGCCTGCCGCCCCATTTGGGCTGCCAGTTTGCACCAAATGTTCCAACGTTCGTTTAGATTTTCAACTGAATATATTCAATCAAATATTCCACCAAATACAAGTGGAGAGTTTAAGACTATCCAACTTCCTACATATTTTAAGGCTTTAGTCTTCAGTGGGACGGCCATCTGTTGTTCTTGTGTCTCCCGCTTGGGACCATTTTTAACTTATGATAATTCCTTCCAATGCTGAGACACACCCATCTACATTTATGCTACCGTGATTGAAACGTACTGAAGGACATCAATTCTTTGCTGATTGACTTCAAATGGATACAGCAACGAATGTTCTCGTTTGTTCAAGTGGGAAACCTGGAACAGGCTCAGTATATAGGCCACTCATAACCACGCCCCACCTTGGGCTATTAAATTCAGCGACATAAGAACAAAAAATTTTGGGCTCATTGCAGAGTTTCGTCGCCGACGTGCGTCGTTGTCAGGCCAATGTGTTAACCGACATACTTCGCTGTTCATTAAATTTTTGACAATTTTCAGAAAAAATACGAAATTTTTGATAGGAAACGTTTTCGGGCGAGACTAGAAACATGGGACGAGTTCTCGCTTTATTTCCCAAACAAAAAACCTCAGGACAATACAGAACGTGCATGCAGAAAGCCCAAATTATGCAGTTTTGAGAACTCTCAGTTATTACACAAAATCAGTTTCGAAGAAAATTATTACCATCGAATTCACGTTTCCCCGCGGCCAAAAATGGTGGCTTAGAAACCACAAAAATGCGAAGAGCTGTTTCTTATTTTTTTTCTCTCTTTGACAATTTCTTTAGCATTTGAGAATTCGTAATTGTTAAAAAAACTTATACTTTGGCTGCGTGCTTATCGAAAGTCACAGCACTAGAAATTTATGGTCATCTCGACTCGGTTAAAATCGTCGCATATTTGCTTCGTAGTAGGAGTACCCTTTGTCCACCAGGTTAAAGTTGGAAAGAAGTTATGCGCATTGAAGCGAATATACACACCATTAGTCCAATTTTCGTTTTCGCACATTAAGGAAGCCCAATTTCGCCACTCTAGTATCACGCTCAATACGCTGCCAGGTAAGATTGATATTACGCTGAATCCAAATCTACCCCCCAATTTCGCGGCACACGTTAGTTGCTGGCGAGGAAGTGGTGCTAGTTCAAGTAGAATACAAAATAAATAAATGGACATATGCATGCTGTTCTCATCATCGTTGGGTGCTGCAAACATGCTCCAACGCTTATTACGCGATGCACGACATACACGTACACACATATCTGCTGGAGAGTCGTATCAGGATTCTTCTAATGAGTGGGACCGTAAACATTTCGAAAGTTCAGATGGAAGTTTCACCTTATTTCCATGCCTACCATAACTTAGTGCCTTTGTGGCCAACCCGGGTGCGTGTCAACAGAATCGTCCGAAAGACCCGCGCCAGTGGTCGTGGTCGCGACGTCGCGATGGCGGTGGACGAGTTTCCGTAAGCGTCATTCGATTGTGAATGTTAAAACGCTAAACCAACTCCTTCTTTTAACATTTCAATCAATGCATGGGTGATTCGATTCCATTAGACTTTTTCCTTTTCCCGTTCCCATATAATGCGGAAATAAATTGTTCTGTTCCAGTTTTCTGTTTATTCTGATTTTCTGGTCTGAATTCTGACTTTGCTGAGGTTTTTACTGCATAGAAAAACCTCAGCAAAGTCAGAATTCAGACCAGAAAATTCCTTTCTTAGGTCGACAGTTTTTTCCAAGGAATTTCTCGAACTCCTTCGTTGTGAAACAGTAGTAGATTATGCCTGACGGAGAGGGATTTCGGACAGAATGAAAACTGCTTACGCACATCGCGAAGCCCTCTCTTCTCCTCTAAGGGTCAATCCTAAACTGAGCTTTATCGCGCAGTGTGATGGAAGAAAGAGGTATCTCACCAATCAAAATGGACTTCGATGTTCGCTTGATTGATGTGGACTGAAGCTAAATTCATCGCTCCAATCGACAAATTCAATTATTGCCGCGCCCATCGAAAAACTGCCGCGTTACGACGCCGCGCAAGTAACCGCGCGCGACGGCGCCACTCCCGGACGATTCTGTTGGCAGCTCCCCGGCCAACCCACAACGCTTTAGGATCTAACCTAAAGTTGAACGCGCACACTTTACAAAAGGGAAACACAGCAGCTATGAAATAGTATAAATAATTGTCAGAAATTTAATCACGATGTCTTCTTTCAGGTGACGAATGTATCTTCGCTACGGAATCCAGATGCACTCGAACACTTTAGGGCA